GAATACTTTGTGTGCTGACTAGAAATTTCACTCCAGCACACTACCGAACTTTTTTCAGGAATCAGATTTGGATTTCGCCACCGCTTTCGTTGACACCTTGCGCGCTTCTACATATAGCATGCGAGTTGAAGGCTCTTTGCTTGCAAGCCATTTCTAGAATACAGCCTCATTCTCTTCCTTAATTCCCAATTTTCCTCGAGGCTCTTCTCTGACCGCCATGCGGCAGGCCAATCCGCTTGAATGAGCAGCATTCGGCAGCAGTCTCGAGTACGGTCCCATTCGGTTTCAATATCAGGGGTAATCACGGGGTTCTTTTCAAACCGTCATACGATGTTGTTTGCAAATATGGCTCTCGTGTCCACTGAAGATAATGTTTTTCATTTGATTCTCTGGTTGCTTCCGCCAGCAGATTTTCGTTTGGTACTCCTTTTCTTACAGTGTCCATGCTAACAACAAGGTGGTGATCGGTTGATAACTCTGTGCCTCTCTGAACGCGAACATCTGTTACAGACAGTCTTAAATGTGAAGAAACTATTATCAAATCGAGCATCGACTTCTGTGCACAATGTTCACGGTACCAGGTATACTAGTGCACTCTTCGATGCTCGAAGAGGGTGTTCATAATAGACAGTCCGTTGTCTGCACAAAACCGCAACAACTTCATGCCGTTAATGCTGAGTTCGCTAGGACCGTTCTTCCCAATCACGCCTTTCCACTTGTCAGTATCTGTTCTGATATGCGCATCGATATCGCCCATGAGAATGACGGCTTTCGTAGTCGCCAATTCGCACAGTGCACCTACTTCGTTCAGGTATAACTCATATTCTTCTTCTGAATTGGGCGTAAAGACGTGTAACAAAGTCAAAGCTTTAGCCTCCTGTAACTTTAGTGGGATGATTGCCACTCTTCCGCTATCAGGTTTCCATTCAATTATTCTGCCAGCCAGGTTAGGTTCTACCAGGACACAAACATCTGTCTGAGCGCAGGTCGCAGAGTGGACACCTAATTGCAATGACTTCCTCCTGCCGAGGTTCAGAATTCCAAATCGGTGACGCTTCGTTGACGATAGTCAGCTATGCACAGTCAGTACCCTGCCGCTTCATCAACCTGATCTTGATCCTACCTTGTAAGTGAAGAGATGTTCCAATTTCTGACTGCAAACTTTGGCGTCGTTCCGGTGAAATTTTATTTGACTTCATGTAATGGCATCGCTCTGTGTGTTTCCTCCCTTCGGAAAGGTTACTGACTCCGTTGGTGACAGGTGTGTTCGTCGTCTTCTTGTCGATTTTCGGCAGCGGTCATCGTACTGTATCGTCCCAAATTGTCAG